CATTTTAACTTTTTAGGTAAAAGCAGCAAAACTGGTTATTTCTTATTATTCAGTCTGCCGTCTCTCCTCTCACAGCCAACTCCAGGATCTTACACTTCCTTCCACCCACATGTGCTCACATTGCAATCTCTTTTTCCAGCACCTGTTGTCACTGCATTTGTAAAACCTGTCATCTCCAGTGGTATCCTGAATGGTTTCTCGTTGCAAATTCCTATTTTCGCTTTCTATCACTCTTGGACTCTAGTTTCTTTTTTTTTAAGGATAAAAGTGCTGTGGGAATCTCAGCATGACTATTTACAGCAGTATTTCTCAACTTGGCAGCATGAAAAAAGTGTGAATTCCAACTCCCAGAATTCCCCAGACAGCATGTTGGCTAAGGAATTCTGGGAGTTGAAGTTCACACATCTATTAGTTGCCAAGGTTGAGAAACACAGATTTACAGTGTTCCAATAACATCGTTTTATGTCTGAAAATAGTATAAGCATATACTCACATATAATATGATATTATGTGTAATACAGACTTGATTTACTGCAAAGTTCCTCAATGTTTCCAACTTTGCAAAACAGCAAGGAGGGGATGCAAGCAGCTGGCAAGCACACATGCGTGCAGCTCCATTTGTGTGAGCGGCATGCATGCACACCTGCTGTTCACGCAAATGGAGTGCATGCACACATACTCGCCCACTGCTCGTGCAAGTGAGGATGCATGTCCCATGCGTGTGTTCACCAGCCATTTCCATGGTCCACTTGCAAATCCCTCACGGCCCACTAGTGGACTGCGGCCCACAAGTTGGGACTCTTGATACTGATCGTAACTGATCAGTTTTGCAGACCATAAACTCTGATTTACAAACTATAAGGGCTGGGCATTACACACTATGCTTGTTTATGAGATGAAACACGGTGTGAACCTAGCTATTCTTTTTTTAGTCATGGTTTATGATTCAATGTTAATTAAACCTACCCAACTGTGATGTATTGGACAAGCCATAACTGAAGAAGCTCTGTTTCTTTCCAGTGACTAAACAGCTGTATTAATTTAAAGTATAAAAACACAAACACATAAATATATATAAAGTACCTTGACAGTTTTTAACTTCCTATAGTAGAATACCCCTGCATCTGGCATAATTTATTATTCCAGATCTTAACGGGGAGCTTCAGGAGCTTTTCCCCAACACGACTACCCTCCATTTGTGCTAGATCACAACTCCCACCATGCCTAGCCTGCAGGCTCTTCATAAAACTTTCCAGATGCTCTGGTTGGCCTCACTAATTCAGTGATTCAAAAAAGTACCATTTCCAAAATGCAGTCCTTCCAACAACACAGGAATTTGAAATCCCATCTCTAACCTAGCAGTCAACTACAAGGCATGCCAGAGTGACTAAATTTAACAACCTAAAAACTATAGAGAAAGTCTATTGTCATACTGACCAAACTAGCTGAAGAAATAAATACAGCACTATAAAAATGTGAGGTTGCCATATCAGTGCCTATTCAGGTATTTTAAATTTCCAATTTTTCCAAGTCAAAGAGTGAAGCAGAAGCATTCTATCTGCTAAATGTTTTAACTGCTAGCACCAAGCCCAAAACCTTCACTTCAGCAACATACCCACTCTCATTTTAGAACCATTAAAAACACTCCATTAGATACTAACTTGTCTTTAAACAAAGATGCACCAATTTTAATTAACAGAGTCTTCATTTTAATATTGACCCTTTGCTTAGCCAGGATTGATGTTAAGTGTCATTTGCCCATGTAGATGTAAGCTGGGCCTTGTACAAAATGTCCATAAAATGGGCACCAAATCTTCCAACAGCAGAAAGGACTACTTAATTTATATTCCACCGATATACATTCACCAGTCTTCTACCAGTGTCACATTAAACTTACATCAGTGCTTGTTTTCTTGTAGTTTTCCCACAGCCTGCCTTCTAGGTGAAATTACTGTACAATATATAACAGCGTCAGAAAGAAAGGCGTCACTTGGAAGGATGAAATCGAGAAGGAATCAATACAAAGAAGATAAATGTTCTTTCTCACAAGCAGCAGAATATCAAACAGAGGCAAGATTTTTTTTCATGCCTTCTTTTTTCTAAATTGTCTGGAAAAGGGTATAAAAGGGGTATGCTTCCGGAAAGATTAAACTTTCCTTAGTGTTATCGATCTCTGAGTTTTTAAACCTTTATAATAGAATCCTGTATGCATTTGTTTTAGAAGAAATAAGACTACATTCAACATAATTTACTCCTTAGCTAGAAAGAATTGCAACCTTAGCTTCTCAAGTCTTTTTTGCCCTATCCATCTTTTATTTCATCTTCTGCATATATTAACTATAAACAATAACATCAAAAAGATCTGCGTTCTACCTTTAATCATAGCTATAAAGAGGTGCTAATGAAAAGTAAAAAAACCCTAAGCCAACCATAACAAAGAAAAGAAGTTGCTTATCAAATTAGCATATTCATATTAAGTTTGCCTATTAAGGAAAAATGCACTGGGATTAAAATCAGGAAAGAAGTGTGGATGCTACAAATATGAACAGTATGGAGTTTGATAAACTTAAGACTATTTTTTTTTTTAATTTAAGAGTGCCATTATGGCATGAATTGTGGAATGGAAACAAGTCCTATTAAATTTTCTGGGGTTGGAACAAAGTAATGTGGATTTGCTCCTTACAGTTCTTAGCCTAAGGATCCTTGAAATATTTGTAAGAAACAAATAATTTTAAAGCTTTTTTTTTTTTACAAGACACAAGCAGAAAGAAGTTGCATGTACCAATGACATATGTTTTCATTCAAATTTGCTAGTCATCATCTCTTTCATAAAGAAAAAATGGGGAAGGTTAAATTGATAAACATTGGAAGATTTGTCACAAAACCATCTGTGTGAATATTTTATGCAGTTAGTAATAAATAAGCAAATTCCAGGCATTCATTGTCTGCCGAGCTATCACATGTGACACTATACTGAAATTTACAGCAAATGGCAAGAGCAGGTGACACCCTTCCTTCCCTTAAATAGAGGTAGGTTTTAGGAATTGTTCTGAAATGTAGTATTATCTGATCAGTGTCCACATGTTGGGAGACTTTGGGATATACATATGTTGAATGCAGTTCAGAAAAGACAGCAGCTCAGCAGTGCCTCTGCTGGCCCATTTGTGTTACTGTATACAGTATGAAGGTGGGGTGAGAAAACCATTCACAGAGAGACTTAAGCTTCTCTGACATTTTTAACTTTTTCCGAGCTCTGGGATCAGCTTAGAAATGGATAAGGGTGAATGGAAATCCATCCTGCACTACAGAATTTTTCCAACAATGTTTCTATGGTGCATGTTTTCTACCGAGAACAAGCAAACACAATCTCTCTCTCCCTCTCTCTCTCTCACTCACAAACACACAAACACACACACGCACACACACACATAATTAACCCTGCATGTCAGAAATCAGATGGGTCAAGCAAATGCCCATCACCCTAAAATGACTTTGGCTAGACTCCAGAACTGCCCTAAAGGGAACAAGGTTTTAGGCCATCTATCTAAAATGTCAGAATTGTTACCTCTCTCCACCCTTGAGAGTATGATCTGACCTTCTTCTAACTCTATGCCTTTCCTCTCCATCCTTGCCAAGGTCAATGGTGTGACACCTTTCAAGTTTAATAGAATAAAAAATGCACTGACAGCTGTATAGAAAAGCCAAAAGTCAAGGTAAGAAATAAAGAGAACCCAGTGATTTCCAAAATAGACACAATCCACCACTTATTTCCACCTGGCTGAAGGCTAGTTTGCACACCCAATTTTTGAGAATGTTTTTTTTTTTAGTCCCCCCCCCCCATACACACAGACACCAGCACCACCAAGCACACATCCACAGCTGGCATTTTGTCTCTGCCACACTCAGGGTCTGTCTAGTAAGCACTGCACCAAATGCAAGACCTCAGCAAGGCTACCAAGAGGCCAAAATAAAAGCAAGCCAGGTCTGATGATGCAGAAGGAAAGAAACATAAGAATTTCTGACAGCCAGATTGCATGTTAGGGCAACAGACTTTTTTTTTAAAGGCTGAATCTCCCCAACGTTCAAATGAGGGAGTTTCTCTGCCTCTCCAGCCAAACCTACACCATTTACCAAGCTCAACCAGTAGTTTGGAAGGGGGGGGGATTAGGAGAAAAAGAGGTATTATACAGTACTCTCTATGTGGCTACTTCAAGGAGAAAGATAATGGAAGGCACTGGGCAGCACCCCAAGGAAGGCTGATTAGCAAGCAGTCGCGGCAGATAAAACAACACGGGGAGAACCAAACAAATCAGACACATTCACTTTCTATTGAAGGCAGGGGTGGAGGGAAGCCCCATTACCCCGCATTAAGCGCAGCGAGCAGCCGGTTTGAAGGTCTTTCCCCCTCCCCTCCACACCGCTCCAGCCGAAGGGCGAAGGCACAAGAGGGGCACTGCCGGGCGAGGAAGGCTGCGCATCTCACGAGCAGAAGTTGCACGGAGAACAAACGGCAAAGAGCAACGAGCCAGGCTCAAAGGTCTCCTTTTGGTCTCCTTCTCTCCGGTTCACCCCATCCAAACCGGAGCCTCTAGTCTAGACCTTCCGCGAGAACGAAGCCGCTTCATCTCTAAGAAAAAGCCGGCTTCTTTCCCTGCCCGGGAGGAGAGGATAGGGAATCTGGCTGCGGGAGGAGATAGTCCAAGAAGGAGAGGGGGAAATCCTGCAATGCATTCTCACTCGGTCCCTGCCTTTGGATCCCAAACTGCCCGCACCCACCCACCACCGTACACAGCCCCGCCGGCCACAAATTACGGCGGAGCACACAGGCGTGCAAAAAGCCAAGTGAGAAAGGCTCATCCACCGAATGGGGGTAAAAGAGAAAGAGAGAGAGGCGGGACTCGGGGCGACATCTGCGGGGTTCCTCGGCGCCCTCCTTCCCTCTCCCTGCCCCCAGCCTCTTTTTTCCAGCCCCTCCATCCCACGCTTCGATTGCCACTCACCGGGGAAGCACACCACGTAATGGAGCACGGAGATGGTAATTTTCAAGAAAAAGATCCAGCAACACGGTTGTAGTAGCCTCCGCATGTCCAAAACCGCACATCGGAGAAGAAGAAAAAAATTAAAGCAAGAGGGGGGGTGGGGAGCGCTCTTGAAACGGGTTTAAAAACAAAAAAGGCGAGGATTCCACAGACCCACACGCATTCCCCCTCTTAAAAAAAAGGCAACACGCAACAACAAAAAAATCCCACGCAAAACTTGTGGAGGGCGACCAAACTTGCACACTTCCCTCCCTCCCCCCCTTCGGCTGCAAACAAAAGGAGAACAATTCTTGGGTTTATTTTCTTTTGACGGCCGTTCCCCCCTTCCCAAGCTCCGCACCGTTCCCGTCCTTCTCGCACTCCCGAAGCGCAATAACGCAGCGGCCCCTTTCTTCGCTTTCCGCTCCCCGAGTTGCACGGGTTGGGATCACCCCGCTTGGGTGCAAAGACGTGCGAGTCCCAGAGTTGAGCAGAGGCAGCGCCGCTCAAGGGCCTCGGAAGCCAAAGCGAACCGCTGCGGGGGGGAGAAACTCGGGTGCCCCGGAGCTCACAACTTCGCTCCAAGCCGCCAAGAGCCCGGCGGCGACGGGGATGGCTGGAGAAAAAGCGCCTCGGCCAGGCTCGGACTCTTCATGCGGGCAGCCTCTCGGCAGGCCAAAGGGGAAAAGGCATCCCTGCGAACGGCAGTTCAGAGCGCGGCAGAAGCGGGAGGGTTTTTTTGTTCCCTTCCCAAATGATGGGGAGCAGCCCGGAACAAGAAGGGAAAAGGCGGCGGCGGAGAGTCGGGCTGCCCGGAGCTGCTTTCAATCCATCCCGCTACTGGAAGTTGGGGCTCCGGCGAAAGCTGGCGAGGCAGAGTCAGGCAGGAGCTGCTGCTGGAACCTTTCCATTCTTCCATACAGGAAGTAACATGTGAGCCTGGATCCTGGCTGAGACTTTAAAGCGGAGAAGGGAGCGGGAGCGGAAGGGAGAGAGAGAGAGGGAAAAGGAGAGGCGAGGAGGCGGGGGCGCGCGGAGGGGGGAGGAGGAGGAGGGCTTTGCGCGCACTCGAGGCTCTTAAAGGGGCAGCGCAAGACGCGCCTCTCGCATCCAGCGGTGCCGGCGAAACGGGGTGTCGCCTAGTTTCCAGCCGTGCCTTCGCTTGCGTTGGGCTTCCCACGCTCTCGTCGTCCGTAGCCCTTGTGCTTCATACGGCTAAACACACAGACACACACGCTTCGCATACACACGACGTCCACTCCAGCGAGTAGAGAGCACGTGCAGACTCTTCCCACCCCCACTCGGCTTTTCAGAGAGTCCATTCCACGCGCGCCCACTGCGTGCCGTAGGAGCCACTGACGACCGGCCATCAGCAGTTGTCAGCCTCGGCCGGAAAGAGCGGCTTCGTTTACACGTGCAACACCCTGCGCTATTGATAATAATGAATATCTCTGGCGCGGGGCTACCCAGTCCCCGAAGGTGCAAACACGCTTCCTCCGAATGCGAACGCGCACACCTGCCTTGCTTTTTTCGTGCAACCTTACAGTTAAAAAATAAAAAAGAGCCACCGCGTAACCTTTCAACGCAAACACGTTGCCACCCTCGCCAGCGCACAAGACCGCTGTTTTCCTCGCAACTCTTATTTAACTTTACAGGCATTTTCTCTCACACTCTTTATTTTACAACCTTTTCCTTCTTTCCATGGACACACGTTTATTCCCCCCCCCTCACACGCACACGCACAGACACTCTTCTCCCGCGCATGCGCACCCGGCCCTCTGGCTAAGCGGATTCGCTCCCTTGCCATCCACCCGCGCGCCTTTGCCAACTAACGGACAGGATCCCGAATCCACGCCGAGCGCGGCCGGACCCCGTTTTTTTTTCCCCACTGCGCGTGCGCCCTCGCGCTCTGTCCGGAAAATCTGCAAATCCATTCCCGCTTTTTTTTTTGCTTTTGCAAAAGTAGGCTGGCTGTTTTCCTTTTTTTTTTCAATTTTCTGACAGCAGGGGGGGCTTAAAGTAATAAAGATTTAGCATCGGGGCGCCTCTAATCGGGAAAATGCCATAGCTCCATCTCAGTGGCTTTTGGTTTTTGTTTTTTTTAATATAACTACGGTCCGACCATGCATCCTAAAATACTGGAGGTACCTTCTCAGTCGCTCTTCTGCTTTGCCCCCCCCCCACCTGAGGTTGTTGCTTCTTGATCTTTGTTAGGCGCCGGTTGTTGTTTTGGGTTTTTTTTAGACGATCTCAGCCTTTGCGATCCGGGGAGAGACGGAGAGGTTAAAAGGACCTTCTAGCTGTGATCAGACTGAAGCAGAGCTCAGAAGCTAGGCTGATCTTGAGGGAGATAAGAGGGAGCGATTTCCTTTTTAGCCCGGCGTTTAAATAAAAAGCAATCCGGGAGAAGCGTTCTGGGGGGAAATCCCTTATCTGTAATGAGTTTTGTCCCTTCCTTTAGACTGCGAGATTTTATCGACTTTTAGTTATAAGTAGCACCGTATTTTCTCTTTATGTCTCTCCTAACTGCTGTCTGAGAGCTGGGCTTTTTTTTTCCCCTGATGAAAAGTGTAATTGAGTCAAGATAATTTGGCATTGGTAATACTTTTTTTTTTAAAACACCCTTATCTAAATTGTATCTGTTTGAAGGTACTTGTAGTATTCCATCTCCTTTCTCTCGTGTGTGTGTGTGTGTGTGTGTGTGTGTGTGTGTGTGTGTGTGTGTGTGTGTCGATGTTCTATTTCATTTTGAAAAACATTAAGGAAAAAAAACATTGGAGCCTAACTTACCATAAAGTTAGTAACATCAAGGGGGAGATATATGGATATATTTGGGAGGGGTTGGGGGGGGCATATGGAGAAGGATTTTTTTTCCAGGAATGAGGATGGATGTCATTTAGAAGATGGTCTCTTGTGCTGCCAAAGTCTGAGACACAAATTTGTTAGAGAGAGAGGGAGGGAGGGAGAGAGAGAGGGAGGGAGGGAGAGAGAGAG